CTTCAATAATTAGACAACAGTCTGAATCTGATAAGTCTGTTATTGCTTATTTATATTATTCGTTATTTCCATGGTTCCCTTCGAAGCTGGAGTTACATATACTGTACATTACATATCTTTCAAAACAGTCACACCTAAATTGTAAAAATTCCTAGACATGTTTTTCTTGGAAAGGCACGTGACAGTGATTAAGAACGACGTGTATTTATTTTTTTTTAAAAAAGCCCCTCTGTTGAAGTTTATACGTTAGGTTCTCTCTCATTAAGTCTCTTTAATGACCTCCAACTGAAAACACACACCAGCAAAAGTTAAACGGTGGAGTTCAAAAGCAGCAACTGTCTTCAGTAGGAGAGGGCAAACAATGTTCAAAGGGGAAGACAAAGTCATAGTCCAAAATGCAAAGGCAGCACAATCACCGGGGCATCAGAGGAACAGGGTGCAGACAAAAAAGTCATTAAAAACAAGAGTTATTGCTGGTTCGGGGAGACATGTAAAAGCTTTTTCATATTTATCACAGCATACATTTTTGAATGTGCCATTTTGATTTAAGCTGACGTAGTCTTTGCAGCATGACAGGTGAAGTGAAGTGATGGAAGAAGGAAAGCGGTGACAACGAGAGATAGAAACAGACGAGAGAGAAGATGGAATATCTGTCCTTCACGGTGTGGAACTGTAACCTGAAAATTGAGGCGACGTTGTCGAGACAGTGACAGATGTAGTATATGCTGATACCTGAAGCATGACTACAGGGTTAAAGCTCTATGTTCACACATCACACTTACTGGCACGTGCAAACACAAACAGCCGTTGCTAATGAGGTAAAAAAAAAACAACCATAATATAAAAAGACAAATTCTATTTGACATCTATTCATCTATTCTATAAATGTCACAGGACACTTCCAGCATGTTTTCTTTTCCTCTGCCAGTGGCCATCCTTTAATGAGTATATGTCCTGTTGACCTCAGCCACTTGATTCAATCACATCGAGCTTTATTGAGGTGGAGGTGAAGTCACTGACTGTGTGCTATAAAGGTAGAAGACCCTGTTTTTATCTTCAATAAGTGGATCTAATGAAATGAATGATAGATGGACGGATGGATGGATAGATAGATAGATAGATAGATGGATGGATAGATAGATAGATAGATAGATGGATGGATAGATAGATAGATAGATAGATGGATGGATAGATAGATAGATAGATGGATAGATAGATAGATAGATAAATAGATGGATGGATGGACAGATAGATAGATAGATAGATAGATGGATGGATTCTTAAAACTATAATAATAACTAGAACATTGATTTAATAGTATACAGATGAGGAAATAGTAGCTTTATAAAAAGTAAATGCCTCTATCATCAAACTGACAGCTACTGGACTGAGAGCTCTCCATGTCATAGTCATTTCTCACTGACCTCATGCTGTCTAAAATGTCTTTGAAACGTTCAAGAGATTCCAACACTCCAAGAGAGTTAGTGGTCACCCTCCCCGTACCCCCCCCACCCCCCAAAGTGGATGAGGACAGATGCAGTTTGATGGACGCGATGACACGGTGTAAACACTTCAGCCGTAGCCACGAAGTCAAATATCATTGTTTACTTCCAATTATCCGTGACAGTCTGCAAACACCGTGCTAGATCTAATCCTTGTTAGATCAGTCAGTGATGACGTATCCCACTCTGGGGACGGCAGAGTTTGTTTACAGTCTGGAGACTGGGGTGATTGCATGTGCAAGTATAATCCAAACAACTTGACTCCCTATATTCTTCCAGGCACGGCGTTTGTAAGAGCCGTATCTGTGCCAGGACAAGAGGAAAGTGTTTGTTTGACTTGCAGTGGCGTGTTGACGGAAAACGAGAGAGAAGTGCTCAAGACTCTG